TTTTCTTTGACCCTTTTCCCTGACTTTTAGTACCACAAACGTTTTGAACAACTAATAAACTGTGGATCGAAATGAAAAAAACTTAAAATTTTGAATTTAAATTTTATAATTATTAAAATAATATGTTAAAATTTTTTTGGGTGAAATTTAATACAATTTAATTTTAAATTAATTATAATTTAATATATCTTTTAAGTACCAAGAGTTAATTAAAAAAATTCTTAAACTAAAAAATAAAAATAAAAGAGTATTGTATATAGAGGATATGAATTCCCATAGCTCGAAACCATTTCCCGGAAATCTCCCTATCTAAACCAAAAAAAGACATAAAATCATCCACTAAAAATGGGTAAAAACTAATATTTAACATCTCATCTTATAAAGTTTGATAAGTTTTAGTTTGTCATCTTATAACATGATATTTTCTTATAACATGATACTTAGACCTTTTAGCTTACAAAATTAGTAGGTTTTAACCCCTCACTTTATAAAGTTGATAGGTTTTAACACTTCACTTTATATTATGATATTTTTAACCCCTCACTTATACGAATTGAAAAAAATGACCCTCACTTAACATCATGTTATAACATTCTGTTAATTTTGTTAACTGACTATTAACATCTATTAGTATTCCCTTATAGAAAAATATGAAATTTAAATTCAATTTTATATATTAGTTCCATTAACGGAATGATAACGAATACTAACAATCAACTAACAAAATTAACAATCAGTTAACAGAAATATTATAATTTGATGTTAAGTGAGGGATATTTTTTTCGATGCTAAAAGTGTTATAATATAAGGTAAGGGGCTAACACCTATCAATTTTGTAAAGTAAGAGACTAAAATTTATTAATTTTACAAGATAAAAGATTAAAAATATTATATTATAAAATTAGGAGGGGTGAAAGATTAAAAATTGATTTTAACCCCAAAAATGGGTCCCCGTCCTCGGACATGCCCACCGAATGCAAAAATAGTGAACCAATTTTGGTAGTCAGTGTAACCTTTGCATGCTTATTTATTGCCAAAGTCTATAATCTTTGACTGCAGTCATGCAATGTTTTGAAATTAATAAATATTAATTGGGCTAAATTCTCTCCAAAGAAAAAGCAACCACTAGAATATAAGCAGAAGCAAGATGCAACTTGGTGTCAAAGAGAAGTTTTAACTTTAGCCAATATATATCCAAGCCCTATTAATGGATCGGCTCGCTTGCACGACACAAAATATTGGAAATCCGCATCCTCCTGCAATTAATGCATTCCTTTTGTTCTCGGTCTTTCCTAAAGAAAAACAGAATATACTTTAGAGGTTTGCTTACTCATCTTCTCAAACAATGATTAATACATCTTTTCATTTAAAATATTTTACAAAATATGTATTAAAAAATTATTATTTTTAAATTTTAATTTTAGTTATAAATTTTAATAATTGAATCAATAAATACTAATGAACCTATTAAATAAAAATATATATTAAATTTTCCACATCTATTATATATATATATATATATATACACCATGTCTCTCTAGCCTATCTTAAGAGATCAGATTTTCGAATTCGGAGATGGGAAATAGCCTTAATCTCCCTCATTTATCAAAGTATAAAGAAGGCAAGGCTTTGCCGATTCAAACCCCTTTCAGGCTTCCCTCTTCCTTACCAACTTGGCCACCGGGTGATGGATTCGCGAGCGGAGTCATTGATCTTGGTGGTTTACTCGTGCGTCGGATATCATCCTTCGCGAAAGTCTGGGCTGCTTACGAAGGTGGACCTGACAACCTCGGTGCTACCTTTTTTGAACCTTCGGAAGTGCCACAGGGCTTCTTTTTGCTAGGTTGCTACAGCCAACCCAACAACAGGCCGCTTTACGGGTGGGTTCTGGTGGCAAAGGATGACACCACGGACTCCTCTTTATTGGCCATGCCAGTTGATTACAACCTTGTTTGGAGCAGTGAATCCCTCAACATCAAGAAAGATGGCAATGCCTACTTCTGGTTGCCTACGCCCCCTGATGGATATAAACCTATAGGCCATGTTGTCACCAACTCCCCGGTGAAGCCTTCTCCGGACAAAATACGCTGCGTTCGAACCGATTTCACTGATGAGTGTGAGTCAGATACCTGGATATGGGGTCCTCAAAAGGATATCAAGACAACTGGATTCAATGTTTTCAGTGTGAGGCCAAGCATCAGGGGATCCCCAGCTATGGGGGTATCCGTGGGCACATTTGTAGCCGGTAATACTAACCTGGCTTGTTTGAAAAATACCAAATCGGATTTTTCATACATGCCTAATTTACCCCAAATTGAGGTATTGTTTCGAGCTTATGCTCCTTGGATTTACTTTCATCCTGATGAAAAGTACTTTGCATCTTCAGTTAGTTGGTTTTTTATGAATGGGGCACTGTTATACAAAAAAGGAGAACAGTCCAACCCGGTTTCAATCGAATCCACGGGTTCAAACCTTCCCCAAGGCGGTTCCAATGATGGAGCCTATTGGTTGGAACTTCCTGTGGATGGAGGAGAAGAGTCCAACCCAGTTTCAATCGAACCCACGGGTTCAAACCTTCCCCAAGGCGGTTCCAATGATGGAGCCTATTGGTTAGACCTTCCTGTGGATGGAGGTGCAAAAGAGAGGGTGAAGAGGGGAGATTTAAGCAGCTCCGAAGCTTATTTACACGTAAAGCCTATGCTGGGTGCAACCTTTACAGACATAGCAGTATGGGTGTTCTACCCCTTCAATGGACCAGCAAGAGCTAAGGTTGAATTTGTCAACGTTGATTTGGGGAAGATAGGTGAACATGTTGGCGACTGGGAGCATGTGACTCTGAGGATCAGCAATTTTAATGGGGAGCTATGTAGTGTGTATTTCTCCAAACACAGTGGTGGTTCTTGGTTCAGTTCATCAGAGCTTGAGTTCCAAGGCGGTAATAAGCCGGTAAGCTATGCATCCTTGCACGGGCATGCCATGTATTCCAAGCCAGGTCTAGTTTTACAAGGGAGTGGCAACATAGGTATTAGGAATGACACCGCTAAGAGTAAGATGCTGATGGATACTGGGGGACAGTTTTCTGTGGTAGCGGCTGATCATCTGGGTTCTACGGTTACAGAACCGCCATGGCTAAACTACTTCAGGGAATGGGGTCCAAAAATTAACTATAATATCGAAGGCGAGATCAAGAAGGTGGTGAAAATACTACCCGGAAAGCTTAAATCGGCTTTTGAGAAGTTTGTAAAGAGCCTACCAAAAGAAGTACTGGGGGAGGAAGGGCCTACAGGGCCAAAGTTGAAGAGGAACTGGAGTGGAGACGAAGTTTGAACTAAAGTTGATAGGCAGCAGAAATTCATCAGACGATCGCAGCACCACATATATTCATTGTTACTGTTCCTGATAATATGTCAATTATTATTATTATTATTTTTAAAGGCACGGAAAAGTTACGGTTCTCCATTTTCGAATTATTTCTTTTCCAACCAACAGCAGCTTTCCCATAGATTTAAAACTGGGAACAGGACGAGAGAGTTAAATTCCCTCCCGGTTTTCTTTTATATCATGGCACTTCACCTATGAAAATAATCCAGGATCTCTTAGGAAAAAAACCGATCATAACCAATTCAGGCAAACAATGTCATAAAACAAACACTTTGATAAATGGAAAATGAAGCTCAGCAGCTATTTCTTCAAACCAAATGAAAAAGACCTTGTCATCAATGACCAATTAACCAATCCAATACAACCAACAAACAAGCGAGCTATTTCACCCGCAGGTTCTAATACAATTCAATTAAGCAATTTGCATAACTCAAACCTGTAAGGGAGAATATGATCCACTAGCCATTTGCAGCCCAATGCATACAACCAACTTACGCCCAGTATAAATACTTTCCTTCAAGTTCATGCTGGTGAAGGAGGCTCTTCTTTCTTCTCAGCCTTCGTTTTTGTTTTCTCTTCTGCAGTTTCTTTCTCATCCTTGGCCTCTTCCTTTTCTTTCACATCAGTTTTACTCTCAGTCTCACTGACATTCAACTTGTCAAGGAGGTCTGCGGTAGCAGTGGCATCTTTGTTTTCCTCCTTTCCCTGACTTTCAGCAACCTCTTGAACCGTTTCCATGAAAGTCTTGCAATCTGAAAAAGAACACGGACGTGTTATCAATGCACATAAAACCTAAAAATCATGCGCCAAAGATGGGAGCACATTCTCAAATGTCCACAGGTGCAAATGTCAGAGAACCAGTTTTACGCATCTAAGACTAAGCAGAATTAACACATTCCAGCAGAAATATAACAGTTTTGTGGCGGTAACAGCCAAGTCAAAATCTCTAAAGATGTCAGAAATGGTCACTTGACTCATATCTTAACTGCTGCACATGTAATCACCATACACAATCTCAGATTCTCATAGAACATCTAACTCATAATTGAATAATTCTAAGCAACAGTCCGGAATATATACAAGATCATAACTAGTAGACAGTCAAAAATTCTCTGGATCCATGAGTTTCTACTTCTAAAGTTTCTGAACCTTCTACATTTCTGATTTGCACTCCTAGACCCATAAATGGTGGGAAAAACTGACAATCACTTCTAACACAAAGAGCATTGGGCCCAAACATGTTCTTCTACTTTAAAATATAAGAACTAGGCTTATGAATTAAACAAAAAGTAATAGTAAAGACAGGAGATATAGTCCTGCCAGACAAAATTGGATATGTAACATGTGAATGCAATAGACAATTGACAACTCCATAAAGTTAAAAACCTCATCAAAAGTAAATAACACTCACTGTCAACTGAAGCAAATCTAACGCAGAAAAGCTCGTCTTTCAACTCCCCGTCTGCAAAATCAGCAGCATGCCACACGCAAGATTTATCATTTCCAGCATGTTCTTGCACAGACATTGTAGGAAGAACTGTAATGAAAACCATGAAAGAAAATACACATCAGAAACCAATAGCTATCAACAGAACCAAACCAGACAAGTTCTACAAATGAAATTCTCTGGAAAATCATAATTTAGTCTGGTTTTCAGATCTTAAAAGCAAGCAAAGAGTAAAAATAATGGAAAGGAAAAGGGGAAAAACAGACCAAGATGGTTAGCGCAGATCTTGAGTGTCTTGGATTGGCGCATCACAAGACGAACTTTGCCGGTCGCCTTGTGTTTCAAAAGCTTCACATTACCAGCCCCTCTCTCCTTCCACTGACTCCCGTCCTTATCAAATCGATACAACTTCGCCTTTCTACAACAAAAATTTTGAGGAATCGTGAATGAAACTAAAAATAAAACGCAATCGGAAGAAAAAGAGGTGAAAAGAATCAATGGTTCCGTACAGATCGAGGATCGGATCTTCATCTTCTTCACCAGTTGTGACGGCGACCTCCTCGAGTTTAACGATGGGAGCCACTTGAGCCCCGGTGTCCTCATCTTCGGCGGCGGGCGCGTTCTCTTCATCCTCTTTGTTGTGCTCCTCTAGATCGGGTTTAGCAGTGCTCGCCATTGCCGCTAGCGCCTTGAGAGAAGGGAGGGAGGGATGAAGTGAATGTGGTACGAGGGACTGAGGGACGGAGGGACGGAGGAAGTTGCTTTTAGGGTAGGATCGCTGTCATGTAATATTGGGCAGACTGGGGGCGCATGTATGTGGGCTCCACTGCAGCGGTGGTTCAACCATAATTCCGGAGTTTTTTTTTTTTTTTTGAATTTGCATAATTTGTTTTCATGGAAAAAAAATTATTTCCGATCAAAATTTTTTGCCAAAATTTCCTTTTCATGGCTGCTAAGAAATAGAGAAAATATAATGAATAATTGTTTAATTATTCCTCTAAAAACTTAACTTTAAAGTGTTTTAATATATATATATATATAATTTTGTTGGACAAATAACTGTCTTTAAATTGTTAACAATTAAATAAAAAATTATTTTAGCAATTAAATAAAAAAATTATTATAACCATTTTTTTTT